CTGTAAAACATGCTATGTTGCATTGTTGTGAAACACAATTAGCAAGAACAAAATTATGGGAACGTATCACAGATTTCTTTCCAGTGGAATTCGTAGCAAACATTAACTCGTTAGATGAGGACAATTTGATGCACACGATCTTTGGAAACATGCAATCCATGCAGGGACATGATAATAACCAAGTACAAAACTTTTATATTATCGTTGCTGAGTCGATTTCGCAGATAATAACAATAACCAGTTACATTGACATTTATTTGGATTCAGAAACTATTCATTAGTTTGTGTGTTGTTTGTCTTTTTTTAAATTAATTTTAATTAATTATTTATAATTGTAAATATTCGTATCTTCAAATATGGAGGCATTAAAGAATTATACTAGTTATTTGTTAGATCGGTTAATTAGTTAACTAGTTAGTTAGTTACCTTGTTTGTTAATTAGTTAGTAAGTTAATTAGTTATTCAGTTAATTAATCAGTTAGTTAATTAGTTAGCTAGTTAATTAGTTAGCTAGTTAATTAGTTAGCTGGTTAATTAGTTAGCTAGTTAATTAGTTAGCTAGTTAATTAGTTATAGTTAATTAATTATTTAGTTAGTCAGTTAGTTATTTAATTGGTTAGGTATTTGGTTAATTAGTTAGTTAATTAGTCAGTTAATTAGTTAGTTAATTTATTATTTAGTTTGTCAGTCAGTTATTTAGTTGGTTAGGTATTTAGTTAATTACTAGTTCAGCTAGTTAATTAGTTTGTTAATTATTTATTTAGTTGGTCAGTTATCTAGTTGTTTAATTATTTAGTTATTCAGTTAGTTATTTAGTTGATTAGGTATTTAGTTATTTAGTTAGTTAATTAGTTACCTAGTCAGTCAGTTAGTTTAGTTGGTTAGGTATTTAGTTAATTATTTAGTTTGTTAATTATTTATTTAGTACGATCAGTTAGTTATTTAGTTGGTTAGGTATTTAGTTATTTAGTTTGTTAATTAGTCAGTTAATTAGATAGCTAGTCAGTCAGGTTGTTAGTACGTTAATCTCTAAGTTACTCTCTCTTGATTATTTATTACTTATAAGAGCTTCAAGAATTCTTTTCCACACACTCAACGGGTCAGGAACCCCCTTCTATGAGACCGACATAAGTTTAAACTGAATATACACAATTTCCTCATGACGTCAAACAAGTATACCTAAAATCTTTTTGGCGTTCCTTTCAAAATCACTTTGTTTCAGATTTATTTTGTAGTTTACACAGTTGGTAATATTTTAGAGTATTTGGCGGATGGAAAACACAAAATAATAGTCAAATATGTCAATTTAAATACAATTATCATTGATGCTATATATAAAATTGACGCCATAATTTATACAGCAATATAGCGAAACTTACTGAACTTGAACTTCAGAAGTCATTTTCTCTTTGGCGTACCATCTAAAATCTCTTCATTTTAGCATAATTCTACAGATAAAGCACTAAACATACTAAGTTCGTTTGCCGCTTCAGAAACGTATCAAAAATTTAAACTGAATATAGTCATACCCAAGTGGAAAAGTATATTCATTAGTTCTGACACATAAAAGACTCTCCTCTTAATAGATACTTAGATAATATGTTACTTGCTTTATAGATTTATCTCAGAAGCTGAAAACTCAAGAGACCAAATTGACATCACTGGTTACAGACATCATTATGGTTATTGACATCACTGGTTATGACATAACATAGCTGGATAAGTTTGCCGCTTGAAAAACGTATCAACAATTTAAAAAATGAATATAGTCAAAACCAAGTGAAAAGTATATTCATGGGTTAGTTTTGAGCGCGTGTTATGTAACACACAAAATATTCTCCTCTTAATTGTCCACTATATTTATTTTGGTCGTCAGTCTCAAAAGTTACTCAAAGCGCCACAAACTGTTTCCGTGATGGGAATAGGAACACTACAAAACCTATAACAATACCGCCACTCGACAGGACATGAAATTACAAGTTCCCAAATACGTCAAAGGAAATTTCTTATAATCCTCCAACTTTCAAAAAGTCTTTGTTCCAATTATGGATTTCCGGTCACTGTACAAGGTCGCGCGAACGGGACTTTTTAAACAGGAAGTACGCGTAACGCCTCCTACTTCCTGTCGTCAAGAGGATCAACAGGAAGATTAATCAATGTCCCTATATATTAAAGAGTTTTTGTATGTCTGAGAACATTCTAGTTCAGATAAAATTATAACATATAGGATTGTGATTATTACAGGGGAAGAACGTGAAATACATATTATTATATAGTAGAGAGTGAGATACTGAAAAATACACAGTGAGATATTTTCCATATCTTCACTAGTGAAGATATCGATCACGTGACTGTTTCCAATTTGCTTTTGAGCGTGAAATTTCACAATTTTTTGCTTGGGACTATATAATAAACAGAACATTATACGGTGGCTTGAAGATATGACTTTTATCTTCTCGTGTTAACATAGGCGTCGAAAGATTGATAAGTGGGGGCGATATTCATATTCATATATTCATATTCATATATTCGTGTTCACAGACCTTAAAAACATTCGATTTCAAAAGAAATTAATAATGCAGAACACGAATATATGAATATGGTCCCCCCCCCCACTTATCGATATTTCGACGCCTATTGTTTTCACCACTCATCTTCGCGCTGCCGTGTAATATCCTCTATTGATGTGATCGTAAATTTCCATTCAGAGGTGTGTGTATGCATGTGGAAACATTAAACCACCGAGTACAAGAGAAGAAGCATGTAAGAGACTTCAAGTATTAACTCACTTCGAGACCAAGATTCGCCATACAACCCTTTAGGGGCGGACCATTAGAAAACTGATTGGGGGGGGGGGGGACTTTTTACTTGTGTCGATAATTTTTTTGAAACATAATCCCTTGCACGATTTCACGTTATAATTTTCTCTATTGAAAAGTCTCTGCACGAATTTTTTTTCAAATTTTCTTGGTGTACGAATTTTTTTCTTTCTGTTTCCCCTGCGAGGTTTTTTTCTCCCCCCCCCATCACTTTTCTAATGGTCCGCCCCTTGACTGCAGCAATAGTTAAATCCGGTCTATACCAGACCGAACTCTGTATGATCATGATCTGCGCAATAATAATCCGGAACTTTTACCGATAATGTCTGAACGCTTTAAGAACTTTTTTACCATTAAGGCCCTGTTTACACTATACCGGATTCGCTCGTCACGACATCTTCTTTTGCCGTTACGGAGCAATGGTTAGTTGCAAATGCTTATTAGTTTGACAGAATTGGCATGTTTATTTGGGTCTCTGAGATTAAAAATCTTCACAGCCTTTCGATACCTACAAAATTTGACCCACTCCGATAGCAATCCGGTATAGTGTAAACGGGGCCTAAATAGGTATTTTAATAGTTGTTCTGGTCAGAGTATATTTTATAGTATAATATAACATTGTTAACGTATTTTTTTTTAATGTTTAAATATTAATGTAAATATTTTTGTTCCATGTAATTCAGCTTTAGTTGCAAAATGGATCTAAGTAAACTAAAAATGTGTCTGTGTGTGCTTACGATGAGGGTTGTGAAGGGGTAAAATAGGAACTGAGATTTGCCTTTTTTTGGACTGGGAAAGTGGGATTTACTACACTGGGATTTAACCACTGAGAATGGGACAAAACATTTTGGAAATGCGATTTCTGTTCTTGAGTGGTCTCCGACTCTATTATTCGATATACAACTGCTTAAAGTCCTTTAATATAATCCTATTTTTTAAATAAAGTAATTCAGTTCTGTAATACTAGATCCCAGAAAAACACATCGAAACAAAATGGAAATGGGATCAGTTCTATTCTTGAGTATAGTCTCCGATTCTATTATTCGATATACAACTGCTTAAAGTCCTTTAATATAATCCTATTATATTTTTTAAATAAAAATAAGTAACTTCAGTAATATTAGACCTCAGAATAACACATCGAAACACATTTTTCGCCTGTGAGCTCGACTTTTTGCCAACAAAGGCGAGAAGAGAAAGAGTGTTAACCAACAGAATGTGAGATTTTCTTCAGTCCTGGTGACGGTACAATGTTTGTCCAAACGACATCAATGTTTGCGGTACAGTCCGATCTGCAGTACAGTCCGATCTGCGCATGTGCACAAGGAGCCCCCCCCCTCCTTCTTATTTACAAACAGTTTATTTAGGTTTTTAATTCATTTTATGTTCTTGCAAAGCTTGATTGTTGTGTCTTCATAATTTATTATACTCTAGAATCATGAAAATACAAATAGTTGATGAATAAAATTCAATATTTAGGATACCGAAATGTAAACAAAGCCTTTGTTTACATACGGACCGTACCGCATCTTTAAATACATATACTCTTCCCGATTGAAATATCTAAACCTACAAATGGAAATTCGGTCGGTGCCTCGGAAAAAGATATCGACCAATGCACAAGTCAAACTCCCTCCCGCTCCACAACCTTTGTAAAAACCAAAATTTTCAGATCATCCTACTCCAATAGAATCATACTCCTTTGGAATAACCTACCCTCAGGCATCAAGTCATCCTCCACCTATATGCAGCATCTACACCTAAACTTTATAAATGCCCCATAAATGCTACCTCAAAAAACTAAAGTCGGATTTTAGTAGTTGGGATTTTGATCGAAATTAGGCTGGAATCTCGGATTTCGTAAGTAATCCAATATTAGTGTGCTCTTGTGCGTTTAATATTGAATGCACAGATTTGTTTTTTTCATATATCAATAAGGATTAGGATTTTATCTTTTCAATAACACTTATTTGTGTCCTTTCAAGCAAAACTGACCAAATACAAGCAGATTAAAAATTGCGGTCGAAATGACAATTTTGACAAATTCCACCTTTTTGTGCATTATTAAAGCAGTACAAAAAAAAGAAGCAAATAATCACCAAAATGTCTTGCCAAACAAATAAACAATAACCTTAATAAGGACAGCATTCAGTTTTGTGTATGATTTTGTTAAGGTTATTTGCACTTATATGAAATTTTAAGCGAATTCAACTTTTACGTGCGTGTACGCACGTATGAAAAACGCGTAACTGGAATGCAGCCTTTAATACTGAAGAGATAACATTTATTTAAGTTTATCCCACTTGAGTTTTCAAGTAAAATTCATGAATTTTAGGAATTTATTCTCAATAGTTTTGGACTCAATTCTCAACGGTGGAAATAATGTGATTGCGATCGTTCAATTTTATTTGATTCGTAATTTGGTCAATTTTCTTTAAAATAATACGAAAAAGGTATTATTGGACAGTAAAGTTTTTCTTGCGAAAAATTATGGTGTTCGTTTTACAATGCTCTCAACGGCAAAAGCGATAAAACTGCACAAGAATTAAACACTCTAATCCTTCTTTTATTTTTGCACATACGATATAAACACGAATAAAAACAATACTAAAGCATATAATGTAATTTATATTTTATATGTTTTGTGCTTTACGGTAAAAACGTGACGGAATTACTAAACTCTTGAAAAAGACATTCGAGTTTTTTTTGTTCGATAGTTATACATATACATAAATATTATTCTCAAATTTAATTGCATACAATGTTATCAGGATAAAACCACTATATATATATTGATGTATAAAACTTTGTGCTGAACAAAATCTCGCACAAACAAATCGAAGTAAATACTGAGTAAATACTGAAGGAAATCGCCGGAATTCCTGTTCTTCGTGAAAATGTTACAGTGTGCAAGCGACCTTTGCGAAAAGGAGATGGAGGGATGGAGACTATCCAGAATTGATGGTGTTTAGGTAAACGCTGGACCGCAAGTTTTAGATTTTCAAAAAATGCAGTGGACTAATACTTGTTTACCAGTCCAAACGAATCGTAGATCGAGTATTATCCCCAAATATGATTTTTGGTAAGTGTAGTATTTGGGTCATTCTAAGAAGAAATTTAATACATCTTTTTAAAATCACTCTATAGTATTAAGAGTCTCATCTTCATCAATTTTTAATTTGCCGAATATGTCATTAGATGTATTGCAAATTTCTAGCCGTGTTTTTTTTTCTGTTAAAATGATTTCTGTTGATTTTTTACCAAATGCATGGGGCTTCGCTTTCGGTGGCATCAAGCGCCTATCACCTATGAGATCGTGGGCTCGATTAAGTATGTAATTAGGTAAGCGTAATACTTGATGTAAAGTGCATTTGATCATATCTACATGTAAATTTGCGCTATAAAAATCTTATTATAAAATAACATGTATATAAAGCGTGCTCTGATTGGTCGAAACCCGTGTTTGGATCAGGCCATCCAAGACTATCGTGTTGTTGTTATTTTATAAAACAATTACTTTATGGTTTCCGTGTTTGGATGGCCTGATCCAAACACTTGGGAATGTTGCTCGAGTTAAGAAAAGCGCGCAAAATCACTCGCCTTCGGCTCGTGATTCGCGAACTCTCGCAACATTCCCGCGTGTTTGGATCAGGCCATCCAAACACGGAAACCATAAAGTAATTGTATAATCTTAATAAAGATATAGTCCATTTCTTTTTGGAATGACCCAAACATTACATATACAAAAAATCATATTTTGGAGTTAGGCGAAGTTTAGGATATAGTGGATAACCTATACATATAATTGTCCAATAATTCAGAAGTCCCCCCGCCCCCTCTCGCAATGGCCCTAAAGTCATGAACCCCGTCTAACCGACGGGCCTTTTTCTTCTATTGCCGTTCCGATTCCTTCTATTTCTGTTTCTCCTCGTTGTCAATTTTCTCATCGATTTTTTCTTCGCAATACAGCAATCCAGGTAACAACGCTTGCTCCTTCGCGCAGGACACTGCTTCAGGGTCTTCAAGAAACTGTTTTCCCTGCTGTAGCTTTTCCGGAGGGTGCACCTGGAAATACCGCCCCTCGCCGCCCTGTTTCCCCTCTGGCAACATTTGCAGCAATCTCTCTTCGAGTCCGACTTCCATTGCTTTTTCTGGACTCTGTCTGCCGGGCAGTATTTCTGCATTGGTTTGCGCGATGACGGTTGAACTATTGTAATAATAATAATAATACATTGACTATGTAGGTCTTGCAGTTAAATGGGAATATTACCACAGAATAGAGACCTTACAGAAGGCGGACTTCTTGGTTTTGCCTATGATTTTGGCGTAACCGTTGCAATAATGTCGCCATGTTCCTAGCCAGTGCGCTTGCGGAATCATGGCAGTTTTCTGTATGGTCTTATTCTGTGATATTACACTGTAAAAACACTCTGGTTAACATTTTCCTGGTTGACCTAGAACATAGCCTATCGAAGGGAAGGTGGCTGTGAAACTCATTAGAATAACAAAATAACTCATTATCTATGTTAGTCAACGTTTATTCATAAATACGGTCCTTCACCGTCACATAGCTAACGAATTATATTGTTATTCTAATGAGTTTCACAGCCATCTTCCCTTCGATAGGCTATGCCTAGAAATAACCTCATTTGAGTTAACTTGAGGATGGCGGTTGACACTATCAAAGTTTCCGAGTAGGAATTGACCATTTGTGTAATAGACTAAATTTTGATCTAAACAAGTCTGGACAAAAATTTCATCACAGCTTGAAAGAGCATCACAAAATTAGTAATATTCCAAAGTTTCGTTGCGAAATGTTGTAAAATGCGGATAATATAGCCTTGCGAAGTTTGCAATTTTCAGTCATTTTAGATTACAAACGTGAAATTGACAGCCCCAAAGGGTATTGCATGGGCTGTCAATTTCCCCCGCGTAATCTAAAATGACTGAAAATTGCAAACTTCGCAAGGCTATATTATCCGCATTTTACAACATTTCGCAACGAAACTTTGGAATACTAATTTTGTGATGCTCTTTCAAGCTGTGACGAAATTTTTGTCTAGATCAAAATTTAGTCTATTACGCAAGTGGTCCTAAATTCTTGAAGGATTTGTAAGAAGGAGGGAACTGACAGTGTCAAACACTGAGTCAGCTCCAAACATTTCTTACAAATACTTCAAAAAACTTAGAATTTACCTATATGCAAAATTCTACTGTGACCACAGCAGAAACATTGATGGTGTAAATCAGCTTACTCAACGGTAAGTGAGGGTGCGCCAACCCCTTCTGCAACCCACACCCCTCTCGCCAACGTGTCTCAACAAATTTGTCTTATCTCAAACGTGGGAAACAGTGTTGGTAGTATTCTATGGCAGTGGCGTAGCCAGGGTTCACAAAGTGTGTGTGGAGACAAGTTGGGCGCCGAAGCCGCGAACACTGAAAACAATTAGTGAGTTTAAGATACCCCGGTTTCGGTGTACGGGTACGAGTAGTGTCATCTTGTTTACTATAGTTTTTACTGATGCCTGTAATTCAATCATACTTTTTCTGTTTTCTTGCAATAGACAATGATATAATGCGGAAAATGTGCACCTTAATTACGAGTAAAGGTACAGACATGGACGAAAATATTGCTAACCAAAATCATGCTACCCGTACTCGTACACCGAAACCGGGGTATCTTAACCTCTCTAATAAGCGAAATTAACCCTTTGAAATGACAAAGCACCAAAACGAGGCTAGTCAGGCTTGTTTGCTAAATCTAGCATAAATTTCGGTAATTTTAACATTTAATTTCTCAAAGAGAACTGAGAATACATGGCATTATATTCACACTTTGTCTTCGGACGTATTCTGTAAGGCGACAGCAATTACGTTGGTTAAAAATTAAAATTAATTTCGGGAAAAAGGTATGCCAACAATTTTTCAAATCGATGCATATAAACGCGGTGATTTTTCTGGAAGCTCAAGTATGATAACTATAGCTTAAACAGATTTCATTTACCGAATGTAATGAAATTAAGTTTATTGGAAGAATCATCTGGTCATTTAACTGATACCAGTTGTTAATCATACGAAACTGTTTAAGAAATTGAGGTGGCCCCAATTTTTCATCGTGAAAATTAAAATCTGGTGTAGCCATAAGTTCGGTTTTAAATGTTTCAAGGGCCTAAGTCATATGGGATGAATTATTTTAAGTGTTTATATGACATCCCAGCTAATAATCCGCCTTGGTCGGACGACATTACGTAAACATGGATTAGTTTTTGAAATATATTTTGTTGTGATTAAACAATTTTTTAAAAAAATTTTTAGTGTGTGTTTAGTTTTATATTTTGTTTGTATTTCCTAAATACGCCGTGTAACTATATTAGGTGTCAAAAACGACAAACGATGTCCATCCTGATCAGGTACAATGGGCCAGTGTTCCGTTTTGTGTTATACTCAGAGACAGAGGTCCTGATTTTAATGAATACTGACCTAAATACTTC